CCGCAAGTATCCTCTCCCGGTTGTTAAGGACTCATCCGGACTAATTCAACTTTACCCATTCTGATGTCACAACTGCCATCCTTGATGATATGGCTCAGCCTTCTCACGGTTGAAAGTCTGTAGTAACCAAGAGGGACCATATGTTGGTAGATAATGACTGATGTTCGGCTTTTTCAACTCATTTTCCTACATTTTATTAAAAAATAACCGCCACCGTTTGGCACATTTAGCGCATTCTACTAACCAGGATAAGCGTCAACAGGTCAGCCCGGCCATATACAATGAGATGCACATCATTGTACTCATCTTGACACGGTGAACTCGAAACTATCTTCAAAATTTGCGGAACGATTCTCTGAGCGAGTTATGGAGGTTTTTTTACCGTTTTTCTTCTTCCAGGCGCGCTGGCGCCGAAGCGTTGGCACCTGTAGTGCGACTCGCAGCGCTCTTCGCGCAAAATAGGTGTCATATTTGTGTTCAGGGGGTCAAATAACCCTAAACGTATTTTAGCGAAATCTGAGTTTCTGACTCAACTTCGAAAAAATGGGGTATGGATAGTCATGGCTAACTGATAGCCAAAAGCCATACTGCGACTAGCACACTGGTGATGACTGGTCTTCGAACTGAAATAACTCTTAAGTCATGTCTTTTCGCAAACAACAGTACCTGGCTTACTTATTTGTGCCGTCTGCATCATTTTTCTGATTACCGGTAGGAATTCCATCCCGAGACCAGTCATCGATGGTAGGTGAGCTCGTAACTGCCGCTTATTACCCATGGAATAACTCACATTTTCCAAGTTAGGTCGAAATATCAGATTCGGCTAGGAACTTGTTCCCAGAGGTAATTTGACCCGCTGAACACGATTATCATGGTATTATATTGCAAAAACCCTTGCGACATGTACTACAGGGGGGGCAAGCACAAGCACTCTTCCAGGCCTCAATTGGTCTACATTTTCGAAAAAACTGGATCGCAGTTTCCTTACAGGATAGTGCAGGTGAGCAGAGGTGTTAGAAGCTTTGTCGGCCATGTTCTTGGACAAATGCAAAAAGTAAACGCCCTGCCGAGAACCGATCCTACAGCGTCTCGCCTAGTAAACCAACTCGCTATCCGCTGCGCTCTACTGCCACGTTTCAAGTGGACTCCATACGTATATGTAAAGACGCTCACGTTTCCTCGCGATAGCATGTGAACAGCCACGCGGGGATAAAACCCTCCATAACTCCGTTCAGAGAGTCGTGTCGCGCAAATTCCTGAAAGGTAGATCGAGTTCACCGCCAAGACTGTACAACGGTGCGCACCTCATTTGGAAATGGCGGCATGACACTGTGATGGCTTTCCTGGTAGTCCGAGGGGAGTGCCTTGGCGAAGTCAGGTCAGTCCAACGAAGCTGGCCGTGAACAACACCGGCGGCGGCCGGGTGATCCGACTGGTAGCACATGAAGCGAATATTACGCTAAACTGGCTACCAGTATGTTTCGAATAAGAGCTGAACGCTGGCGCACCTGGAAGCCATAGTGATCGAGGATCATACTCCCTTTTTTCGCTATACGAGGCTGCTATGAAATTTAATGAATATATTCGTCAGGAGGAACGATTCAGTCAGTTGCGGCGATACTGTAAGAAAGATATACGCAATTTTGCCACCGGATCATTGTGTTCATGATTCTGAATATTCACTCTCTATGACTATAGTCATTTCCATACAGTGCAGTCGTCACTATTGGAGAGCTCTTTGCCTCGATTTTTGAACAGTATCGTAGTCGTAGCTAGTGGCTTTTGGAATCAAGGGCAGGGTACAGCCTCGCTAGCAGTCCAAATAGTCGTAGTTGGTCGCTGGGAAGCGGGGAAAGTGCGTGTTTGGTCGATGGGGGCATAACTCAACTTCGAAAATCTTTTCCGATCGTGAAAGATCTTCCCCGGCTGCTAGACCGTCTGACGATTTTTTCGCGTTGCCAGTCATGAAGCTGTATCCCCAAACCTTCCTTAGTTGGGAAGAGGTGCCTCGTAAGATAACTGAAAGCTGCATTTAGTAGTTGGTTGATGAAGACCCTCTTCCCTTCCCCCGCTCAGCGGTGAATTTAGAAATTGCGAGCAGTACTAGGGAGCCGAGAAAATCTTGGAAGATGGTAGTTAGGATGAGAACGTTTGGTCGTTCCAGAACGAATTCGGGATGGTGGGGCTAATGAAGGCGCTGTCACAAATCACGATGCTCTACCCTGCCTAACGTAGTCGATGGTTGACCGCAGCTGTACAGCGGTTATTCATGAAGTTTAGGATTCAAGTGGCCCGTTCCACACTGGCTTCGTGCAGTTCCAGATCTTCCTCCATGTTCCGAAGCTATTCGGGAGTAAAGAATCCGAGTAGGCCCGACTTTCGCCCACATTTGGCATTGGCTCGTCCTCTAGTAGGGAACCATGAATTGTTCGGCAAAATCATATTTAAATTTTCAGATTCACCAACGAATCCGGCACGAAGTATTGGAAACCACCTGGAGTTTCTGGAATTGGTTACGGTTATAACGTGAAACCAATTATCTACAGAGAAACTACCAGGTAATACTTAGTGCTGTTGCAATATTTACGATTTCTTTCGTTCTTTTTCTGAACTTTTCAGACACGGAGGGGAGGGGGGGGGGGAGTGGTTAGCTTGTTACGGTCTGCGACTAGGTATAGAAGTTGAAAATGCGGCGTTGGGAGGGTAGTGTCCTGGACGAACAACCCTGCATCGGTTCCGGCAAAAAAATTGTAAGGGAGGGGCGCTATAGCGCAATATAGGTTCAGTGACGCCTCCTTTTTTCCAGTGACTCCGCCTCCAGACTCCGCCTTCAAGGCCCGTCTTTCAGTGAAAAACGAAGCTGCAGGACGAAAAAGCATGAAAATCGTCACTTGTACGGTCGTAGAGTTCTTATCGGGGAATCAGCTGTGCGGATGAGGGCGTAGTGTTGAGATGGAGTTAATTGGACACGTACAACCTATCGAAATGGGGTTCTATCAGGGCAATAATATGTTTTTCTTCTTTCTTCACTGTCGAATTGCCACCACCTTGTCGTCTATAAGAAATCCCCAATTCACTATCTGTGATGGCGAATGATCGCAGGGTTTACCATTAAGCATCTGCACCAAACCTAGTCTCTAAGATTGGGCACAGTTCACGCTGATCGTATTGGTGAAATCAGGCCTACCATTGTGCCCTCCTTATCGGCACACCTTTGCCACCTGTAACAGTGAACAGGAGGGGTGGGGAGGGCGCGACGGTGGATCTGACTCCTGTCTCCAGCGTCAGTGTGGACTATTAATTCAAAGCTTGAAAGAAGAAAAGAAATCGTAAATGGCCAGAACTTTACTTAGTCATTTAGAAATTTCATTGCAGCTTGAATCCAAATGTTATCGATGAAGCAATGAAAATGCCCGATATCGCTTCCGCAGCAGCGATGCATGTCCTCAGAGAACGAGGTGTCGGCGGTGGAGCATCAACTGGACTCAATTTCCTCGTTTCGCTTCACAAAGCCATTCATCGAAGTAAGTGTCTGAAGGCTTGAAAACTCAGCCGTCATTTGTCACCTT